AAAAAAATTCTAAAGACCTTTGCACTGGGCTAAGTGGTGTAGTGATAGTCCGTTGCATGATTTTCTAGGAATTCGGTTGAATCGTACAGAAGTTATTAAAATTTAAATAATTGTTATTCGAGTGAGATGCTAAAATTTTTCCAAGTGTCGCGGGCTGCTATAATGCGGAGCCAAAACCATTAAAAATTAAGCTATTAGATTTGTTTAGAAAGAAAGCATGTTGGATTCCTCACCGAAATGGAGTATTTTAAAATCAATATATAAATCAGGAGAATTTTGGTAGCACTTATTAATATCTAACTTGACCTCTGCGAATGTCCGGCTGAATGTCCGGCTAACTTCAGCGTCATAGGAATAACTAGTAGGTGTAATTGAGCCAAAAGGCTCTCTCTCCGAACGAAATCATGTTTGTCAACAGCAGCTATTCAATAGGTTACGGTTTAATTAACACTCAATAACGATTTACAAACCACAACGTACTTAAGTACTTATTTACAGTTAAAAATCCGGCAGGACTAGACTATCTCCCATCACTCTTCTCTTGCAACACTAAATATGATTTTGACATAGTCTATAGGCAAGGACTAAATAAAAACGGTAACGCTGACGCTTTATCCCAAAGAGAGTACGCAGATCTAAACGTGGTAGATTTCCCAATTGTTACACTAGATCGTGTCAAAGAGTGTAAACAGAAAGATCCTGATTTGTATAACATATAGTACAATGTTTGTACAACTGTACATTACCAGAGAATGACAAAAGAGCTAGAACAATTATTTTAGAAGAAGAAAATTACTATATTAGTGAGGAGGAATTGCTGTTTTACCTCCTGTATAGAAGTGATCGCGCAAATAAACAATGTTTGCCGAGATTAGTGGTACCACAAATTTTAAAACATGAAATCCTAGTACATTGTCCTGACATTCCGCGGGCGGGACATCTAGGTATACAGAAAATATATGATAAGATTAAGACAAGATATTTTTGGAAGAATATGCATGGAGATTTGCGAGGCTTGGGTAAGAACGAGTACCGAGTGTTCAATGAAACTAAACTCGAGACCGTGGCCCACAGCCCCATTTCTTCCACTTCCTGTAGAAGCAGCATTTAGTCGTGCAGCAATCGATTGTCTTGGACCACTTCCAGGATGCCATTCATGCAATAGGTATATATTAGCCATTACAGACTACCTGACAAGATGGCCCGAAGCTTTCGCATTGCTGACTATTGATGCGCCGACAATAGCGCGAACTTTCTTAGATGAGATAGTAGCGCGTCATGGTTGTCCGCGCACGTTATTAAGTGACAGAGGAAGTAACTTCCTCTCGAAGTTAGTAAGAGAAGTTTGTGGACTTCTGGATTGTAAGAAAGTCCAAACTTCAAGTTATCACCCCGCATGTAACGGGTTAGTTGAGCATTTTATTTCGGTTCTAGCTATAAAGTCTCCCTGTGTATGTCAGTGAAAATTAGAAGGATTGAGATGTTTTTATACCCAACGTACTCTTTGGATATCGCACTTCGCCTGCGGTAGCCTAAGGTGAATTGCCTTTCTATGTCTTGCCTCGTCAAGAACCCCCTTTGACGTTAGATGTTGCATTATTGCCACGTATCATTAGAACGTGATAGTTATTTAAGAACTTCTTTTGAATTTGAAACCAGACTAACATCCACCACGATTTGTCCACGTGCTTATTAGCAATCACTTCGAATTTGTAAACAATGGGCAGTGGCTAAATGTAAGAACATAAGTCCCGAAGAGAAAAACTGGCTTAAGAAACTATCTCGTGCTAAAAGGAGCGCATGGGCTTGTCATAGTGGATTGCTTGGACTAATCAGAAAAATTTATACTTCCTTCGGAGGTTCATGCAACTCGGATAATCTAGTTGGTCTGAAACGTACACTTATCGATCTTACAAATGCTTTAGAAGACGAACGAACACTTATAACTACAGTTAACGGCAAAACTGTTCAGCTTTTAAAGGTGACCGATAAGCTAACGTCGCGGATCAACACAGTCGCTACTGCTATTGCAGATATTGACTCCACACTTGTCAAATGGAAAAAAGAAATTAACAAATTTGGCAAAACTGAACAATGTCATTATGATTCCTTATTGGATTTTACATCGAAATTTTCTTTCGAAACCTCAAACATTTTTAATTCCTTGTTACGCTTTATTGAAATCCAAGATGTGCTTAACCAGTTTGCTAGAATCCAAGGTAGAGAGTTAATAGGAATTAATGATTTGCCAGAAACGTTGACTTCTGCTTTGACTTCTCAGTTACAAAAACAAAGAGAATTTCGTTTTACGGCTAAGGCTTTGGCTGATGGTTTTCCGATCTTAATGAACCCGTTGACACAATATGAACATCTCTATGTTCACACATTTCACTCCATACTCTTGTAACTTTGCCGCGTATTACTTCCAAAAGTGCATTTTGTACTGTTGAGTATCTAATCCCTTTTGCTTATCAAATTAACAAACTTTGCTATACTGGACCATTAACCCGTAATGACTTTAAAATTCTTATTTCTTACTAACTCTAAAATAGTAATCAAATCTGACGCGCTTGCTAAATGCTTTAGTCATCATGGCACTTTGGTTTGTCCCGATTCTGTGACACGACGCTCGCAGGATGTATCTTGGCTTGGTTTACCATGGACGCCTGCTTCCACTGTTACCTTCCCACGATCACACTCACTATCTCCTTGTGAAGACACTGATCACTTGTATCACCTTGGTGGACGATACTTCCTATCTACTAAAGCACAGACCATCAAATTGAACAGTCAACCTTTCCACATGTCTCCATTGGCGGTTTATCATATTCCATGTAACCATACCTCTGAACAACTACCTACTGGATTTGGTACTTGTCCTGAACACTTGACCTTCAACCTACCCATTTTTCGTAGAAGAAGTGTGAAATATGTACYTTGGAKTCCCACTGACTTCAACAACAATACCATCGATCTACACTACCAATCACTCAAGATACCACCACCCTTAAAACTTAATAAAACCGTACTAAAAGCTCTGGACAAGACCTTCAACAGAATTGACGGAGACCTTGCTGAAAAGTTAAAGAACATTCGCAAATATATCAAACAGATTCATGAAGTTTCAAGTAACCCGTTGGTACTTGTCATTGCTTCCCTAGCCCTGTGCTTCTCATTCATCAATTTGCTGATATTCATTGTACTTGGTTGTTATCATCACCGTAGGAGACAAAATCAACCCGACCTTAACTTAGTTCACTATGTTAAAGTAGCACCCAAAACTGCCAGACCATTGCCACAGACCATGCATGAAAGACAGACCACTGCCAACTATCCCTGAAGAACAGACTCTTCACAAAACTGACACTTGCCCTGATTGTGGAGAAACTGATCATGAAGAGGACACTGAACACTTACAAACCCATAACGTCGAAAACGCCTGATCTCAACGATTCATGAAGAGTATCCTACCACTTGAATTTCAACGACTCATGAAGATTTCAGCCTAGAATTCCACGATTCATGAAGATCAAAACTATGGACCGGACAAGGAACTAAAATGAACTTTGACGATTTTCGTCAACTTATGACTTACAATATATCATAGTATTCTATATTTAATCATTTATTCTTGTGACTTCTAGAACGGCACTAACGTTGTTGATGTTTCGGAATTCATACACGTTAAGAACTTCTAGAGGTATTTTCTCTTATGTTTGAATAATTTATTCTATTAGCTTTAGGGTTTAATTAGGGTTTTTGGCTCATAAATTT